GGTGCTTAAAAGGATTCACTGTGCAGGGAGGGAATTACTATGGGAACGCTCAGCATTTTTCCCTAGGAAGGGCTGTGGATCTGTCTGCAGCTCACCTGGATCAAGACAAAGCTCTTTACCAGTTCAAAGCTTATTTAGAATTGCTTTTGGGAGGCCTCACCAGGGTATCGGAATAATTTCCTCTAAGAAAGGAGTAATTCACACACAGCAGAGTGAGTGCTCCTGTTCTGGGAACAGAGACCCTCCTTTTGGCACCTGGTCGGGGCAATATTCTAACTCAGGACAATATTCTAACCCAGGACCCAGCCAGGACAATATTCTAACTGAAAGCACATCAAAGGGAGACCAACACACCTCACTGCCTGCCCTGCTCCCAGTCACCCCAAAGGGTCGGAACGCTCTAATGCACAACAGACAGAAGTGACTGATGGGAGCTCCCTGCTGTCCCAAGGTCCATCCCAAAGCCACTTGCTCCAAGCCACGCCACACTCCATGCAGCATGTCGTGCGTGCTCAGTGCGGGAAGCATCAGGCAGCAGGGGGTACGTACGGCAGGTGTAAACATCTCTGTACTCCATGTGCTCGTAGTCGGGAAGGATTTTCATAAAACGCCCCGACTTCACCCGTGGGTTTATACCTGAACAGACAGAGCAGGGTGAGTGCCAGCAAACTCTGCTCCACTGGAACCAGCACCAACCATTTCATGGATCTGGACCAACCACGCAAGAAAGTCCAACTCTCTCTTCACTTCCAGCTGTTTCCATCAGCCCCAGTCTCAGGTACAGCTGGTAGCAGGATTTCTCACACACAACTTCCATGTTCCAGATTCCCACACATAATTTACAAATGGCATCTAGTGAATTCCAAGTGGAATCAAGGTCCTCAAAGTCTGCATTGCTGCCTCAAGAAAATCAAGTAACTCCATGGACAGTAGCCCACGCCTTGGATTAGTTCTGCTTTCTAGCACTTACGCTCAGTTCCCTATTTCCCACTTACAGAAGCACAGTCAGTGGGTGCAAAAGTTAGTGAGTCCTGCCAGTAGTCCCAAATTACTTCCTCTGCAACTAAAAAGGTTTATGGGACAGAAGAGAAAATGGGGTGACACTACCAGGAAACTGTTCCACCGAGTGTCTGGGACAGGGCAAGCTGATGGATCCGAGCAGGAACGCCGAGATAGTGGCTGGCTATCTTTCCCGAAAGCCAGAAACAACTGCCAATCATTCCAGCTTTGGAATAACCATCACTAGTTGGGATTGCTGGATGGATGTGGACATCGACCTTGTACAGACCATCACAGAAGTGGTGCTCACACATCAAGTGTCACTCTGCTAACGGATTCCAAAACTACTTTGGTGCAAAGGGAGACTGAAAACATGTGTGAGACAGATCTGCTGAAGGTTATTAAATCAACAAACAGATTAGACTCTGGAAATCCCTCAATCTGTAAACAGTGAGAGCATTTAGGAAAGTGTTACATAGACTTTGCCCTCTTCTCATTCCCTAGGTGACTCTCACAGCTCAGCTTCTGCCTGCAAAGGGACAGGGAGGCAGCCTCTCCATGGATCCAGGCCTCCATCCAGTCCTTAGCCCACTCTGGTTTCCCTCATCCAGTGATGGCCCCATTCCTCCTTCCTGCAAGACAGAAGATGTGCATCTACCTCAAGAAGGCACAGTGGGGCTAAGGAGTTGGGGTCCCGCTCCCACAGACATTTCCAAAACACAGTGACAGCTCCTGCCAGGCTCTTCTCCTTCAGGAGCAGCCCAGAGGAATGCTCATCCCTTTCCTTACAGCACTCTCCCACTCTCCTATAACTGCGTCCTTTTACTGAGATCAAGGCTTAAAAAAAATACCCATTAATTCCTCAGCAAGACCCAAAAATGGCAAAACAGGATGAAAAACCCTCAATACACTTTATTATAAAATCAAATTACATGCTCTTTTCCCACCAAAGGACTGGGAGGCACAGAAATCCCAGCTCTTGGCATCTGCTTACTATTAAATGAGCCTCCAAATATGTCAACTTCCCAGACAAAACCCCTGCCAGTAGCAAGTCTGGCAACTTAAGCCATCAAAGCTTAATAAATATTCAGCATTTATATGCTCTCAAAACTGGTACTAAGCAAGGACATGCAGATTTATATCAGCTCTATCACTTACGTTTGGCGTAAACATCTCGACAGGACACTCCTGTGATCTCCAATTTCCTCAAGTTTTCACAGACTCCATATTCTGCAACAACACAGATAAAAGTGTCAACTCTGGCACAAAGGGATTTGTACCCAGGGTCTTGATATCCACAGCTTGAGCATAACTGGGATCTGATTAGGTGCTTTCTTGAAGCTGCCAAAGTAGACCAAAATCTTATTTCTGCTTTAAAAACAGAAACTAAACGTAATTCCACTATGGAATCCAACACATTTTACAAGCAATGCTTGCAACAAACACACCATAAGGCACAAACAAACACAGCAAAGTCACAGCTGCTTACACCTCAACCAGAAAGAGTGTGAAATGTGGGAGACGGCCTCATTCCAGCTGGGATTGAATGCCTGTTTAGATCAAATCACAACTGTGCGTAGTAATTATCTACTCCCACTGAGGTACCCAACAGGGAAAACTGCTTATTAGGATCCTAAAGAAAAGGTCACAGACTTGAAAAAGAATGAAATGGAGACATAAAACAGGCATCAGCATGTACAAATATGGTTACACTTGAAAGCAGATCAGATTGAGAAGGGGCTGTTGTACAGTGAAATGCCTTTGATTGCTACAGAACACCCCGAAAACAAAGCGAGTCAGAGACCTCAGAGCAGCTTTGAAGCAGAAAATGAGATTCTCTCCTTTCATTTTCAGGAAGTCAACGTCGAACTTCTAAGAAACTTCAAATAAAATAAAGGCAAGTACTAACATCTCGGTGCCAGAAATCCTGAGAAACCCAGAGGGAGGAGATGAGAGAAGGGAGATCCCAAAAAATCAGCAGCAACAAAAACTACCCTACTGCAGTGACCCTGATAGATCTCAGAACGGAAAACTGCCCTCGTTGACATCAAAGACATCTATAGCACAGATCAAAAGCACCTTTCCTCAGCAGCACAAACATCTGCCAGATATGTGACATGTGTGTCTGTGGAGACCCCCATCAAACCATTAAATATGAAACTTATCCTGGGTCGAGCATCCTTGAATTAACAATCGACTGTGGCTCTCAAACACCACCTAATGCTGGAAACCTGCTGCAAGTGAGAATTCAGCTTTCATATACAAGAAAAGCAGAAGTTTTCCTGAATTAATTCAACCTCCTCCTGCCTATAAATACACTTCCATGATGATAAAGCACGCACAAGGCTTCCTGCCAGCCTGCCTGTGGGGAATACACGTCCTGCACAACATCACTCTGGGTAAGCAGCAAGGTCAAGAAAGGTGAGAGTGGGCAGAAGGCACAGCAAACATGTTGCCCTTCATCAAAAGATGCAAAGGTCAGTGGCAGAATTCCTGCTGACTTCCATGGCCAAAGCCAGAGGAGCTCTAAGTGTTACCAGACACAAGGTGGGATGAGGAAGCACAGCCTGAGAGCCCAGAGAGCTCGAAGGAAAGAACAGCCCAGCACAAACAACAGTCAGTGCTGGGCCTCCGCCAGCTGAGTCAACAGAGACTCCTGGGAAACCAGAGCTCCAAGGCAGCCCGGGAATCCATACCCTCCCTGTGTGCCCATCCCTCCTGCCAGAGCTATCCAGGTTTTCCACAGCTGCTCTGCACGTGCACACACGTGGGTACAACATCCAAGGGACAGAGGGAACAGAACGTGTCCTCAGCTGATCGGAAAGTGAGAGCTGTTTGGAAGAGGATGGGAACACTGTGGTCAGAGCCTGGAAACAGGCAACTCTTTCCATGTAAACAAACACTGCCCTGGCCCCAGGACAGGTAAAATGTGCCCTTTTTGCACTGCAGGCAGATTGAAGTCAGTCACTGAAGGTGTTTGTACTGCACTGGAAAGGGAGGAGACACACGGAGCATCCTGCCTAAACTGCATCTCTAACAGCACTATGAGCACACTGACGTTCCCTCTTCCTCCAGAAGGTGCTCATTTATCCCAGAATACTTTCCCCAGACCTGTAAACCACTCCAAGCACAGGCTCAGTGCAGTGCCACGGCAGATCCACTACCAGCAGGTATTTCCAAACAACAGGGTGGGGTGGGAAGTAATTTGTTATCAAAGCTCTATCCCAGTTACACCCAAGTGCCTCTGATAACCTGCAGCACAATTTTATGAAAGCCAAACCAGGATTAAAGTGGTTGTAATTCAAATCTTTCCTGGAAAGATTCAGATTTCTTTCAAGTAATACCAAACTCCTTTAAAAGAATAATACAAAAATTTAGGATTTCTATATCGCTACACACTACTCGACATTACATATCCAAGGCTTATAAGGAAGTATTATCCTGAAAAAAAACAATCTCATCTTAGTGTGCTTTTAGACTCATTTTATAACTAGTTCTTATCTTGTTTTGGTCAGCAAACAACTACAGAGAGTGAAAATGCCACAGTGATGGCTGAGCTCCATAAGTGCATCACTCCAGCTCTTCTGACCCAGGAGCTGTTCAGACCATTTGATGAGGAAAAATCAGTCTTTTGACTCACAGTGCCTAAAAAAACCCTCCAAATACCATAAGCAAGAAAGCTGGCTGTCTCTTTTTAACCCAGAAAAGGGACATAAATTAACAGTAAGGACAGCTTCCAAATAGCTACAGAAAAATAAAACTGGTGAGATTTTCTTTACAGAGAATAGAAATCCTTTTCCAAGAAAGCTCTGAAGGGCTCGAGCTTCCTGGAAAATTCCACTTCAGTACAATTAAATCTATTTTTAAGGAAATGTATCTCAGCGCAGCAGCTCACTGAGTAAAGTATTTTAAGGAGTTAACAGTCACCAAAACTCACACATTAGAAAATGGCTACTTAATTCTGCTTCAAAAGCAAGGATGGAAATTGGTTTCCAAGTTCCCAGTTGACCAGCTGGAAAGCCTATTGGAGTGGGATTGTGAGGAGTGCTTGACTGATTTACCAAACACAGGGACACGGTGCTGTTTCCATGGTCACATGCACTGGAATTTAAAGGACTTGGAAAAGCAGCCTCCATTTATTATGATCTGCACTAATACTCTGGAAGTGTCACATACCCTGCCCTGCTCCAAACACTTCCAAGCCTCACATTCCCTCCTCCTCCATACGAGAAGCTGTGTTATGCTGAAGTTTAACAAACAAACAAGGCTCTTCCATCCCAGGCTGGGAAGAACCCCTGTGCTAATATCAGAGACCAAATTCCTGCTTTTTTTCCCACCTTTCTCAGCATGGCAATGCCAGGGAGCAGCTGCCATCTGTGTGTGGACTCAGAGGAAATTGGGATGTCTGGCAGAGCTTGACAGCCTTTACCACTGCTGAACTTCCACTGTGTCCTCTCTAATCAAGTCCTCCAATTATTCCTAGATAAATGCATGTTCACAAGGCTGGACATGAAACAGAGAGCACAGAAACTCACTGGATTATTCCAGTGACCACTGGAATGGAAGGTTCTCAGGTTAGCACCTCTGAAATACCAGGTAGATGAGTTTGGAAACCACCTTCTTGTTTCCAAAGTTGAACCTTCAGATTAAGACAGACCAAGTCCCCTCCCAGACACTTCTCCCAGTGGAAGGCTTGTATTTACCACTCCTGTGTGGATGCCTCGGAGTCTTGTGAGAGCTGAACTCCATCCAACAGTTCCCTCAGGGTGTAAAAATCACATACCATTCTTGTCCACAGGCACCTCTTTCCATACAACCTGAAGGTCAGAAACTCTAACCCCTTTGCTGACATTTTCCAGCAGGTCCAAAAGCCATTGGAAGTTGTTTTCACAAACAAAAGCCTTTTCATTCAGGCTCTAGAGCTGTTTATTCTGCATTACTGGTCTGCTCCCAGATGTTCTGCTGCACTTGCCCTGTTTTGGTTTAAGATGAAGGCAGTTACCATGTAAAATGGACTATCAGGTGTTAACCAAGGTAGGTCAGGCCACCAGCCAGGGTGAAATGGGCTTTAATTCTGCTCCCGCTGCAGAGATCAGCAATCTCCTATTTATAGAAAACATGGAAGTGACTGCAACCCTCTTCTTGCCAAGGAAGCAATTCAGAGACATTGTTTACCCCAAACAGTTGCAATGATAAAAGGACAACGGCCCAAACAGCCGTGTCAGTGTTACACAACTCCTGGTTACTCCCAGTGCTCTCCCAGTTCACAACCAGCAGCAAAACCCACTGTATTTTCAGACAGACACTTGGAATAACCACAGCGTGTTTTCAACACTAATCTACAGCTGAGTTGGCCCACAGCAGGGCAAGAACAACACACCAACACTCCATGGATCGAGGGCCTTGTCCAACTTGGGACACAGCCAGGCTGTTCCTTACATCCAGCGCTGCTCCTGTCCAAGATGAAGGTAAAAAATGGCCAAAACAAAGCACTGCAACAACCAGCTTCTCTCAGAGAAGCTACTCTCTGTTCTCTTTAATTTTAGGATTGTCCTTCCTGCCTCTTCACTGTTGTGCATTTCTGAAAACACATGTAGTTTTGCACATACAACTGGCACCAAGTTCCAGTTACTTCTGGAACATCACGGTGGACTTTGATGATCCTCGTGGATCCCTTCCAACTCAGGATATTCTAGGATTTCATGATCATCGGCAGAGTGAATAAGGCACCAATACAAGGGGCATTCTTGGAGGGGCACAAGTGCTCTCACCCTGTTTTCAGAACATGCAGCCTCACAACAAGACTCAGGCAGATACAAACACACCCTTTAAGTACTGACCTCAGCCAGGAAGTGGCTTGTTTTTGAGAAAGATTACAAAAAGTGATTACATTTTATGTTTGACTATCACACAGCACCAGTGTATGGCTGCACAGGAACACAGCACAGGGTTTCCTAAATATTGTATGTGTATTTATATACTAACACCTGATATATACCTATAAAATAATGCCCATTTTGATACTCACGTACATCCACTCAACGTGACAGTCCTAAGACAACAGTAATTACTTTCACTGCTGTGCAGAGCAATTCAAAGAACTACAAACAGCCTGAGAAGTCCAGATGAGGACCTGCTTGGAAAACCAGGACTGGTTGAAAGATTGCAGTATCAGTTTTCACGCGTGTAGGAAGTTTTCTGCCCAGGAACCTGCCCCTCATCTACTCAGCAGAGCTTGGGCACCTGTGGCACATGATCTTCCTCAGTCCCACCAGCAGCCCCCCAGCGTGCTCCCTGACACTGCTTGGAATGGGTACGTCGGGAAACACAAGAAATAGTGTGCAAAAAGAATCAAAAATTGGTTTATGCACCTCTCACCTGGTTGTTAGCTAAGGGCCTTCAGACAAAAGTGTAGTCTCAATACCTTCATTTCCTACCCAGTTTAGTTTTAGCCATACAAAGCCCACTACTTCCCTACATTTCAGCTGAGCTGTTGAACATTGCTTTACATGCTGGCAAGAAAATCCAAGGAGCAGACATGATAAATAAATGCATTTCCCCATCAGGCCTAATTTAGTGGTTACTTTAAAAGCCAACTTAGCTTATATTTAAAAGCTATATACATTTCTATATGACCATTTTGCCAGGACCATAACCTATTAAAATAATTAATCAGTGAAGTTTTGCAAACCATTCACCAAATACACAAACATCCATGAGGACTCTATGTCACTAGAGGAGTACAAGGAAAGAATTAACCCCATTTTATTAGCCTGTCTCCTAAAAACAAAATTAATTTATGGGGCAATGCTGAACTAAAAAATAAAAATGCTTCAGTTTACATTTTCTAGGTACAGCCTTTGTATTGTCCAAAGGTTCTTGAATACTGCTGATAAGGCATGAATTCATTCCTGCAAGGCTTCATGGATTCCAAGGGATCCCACTGCAGGCAGCCACTGACATACCCAAATCCTGCATCCCGATGCCCTCACTGGTATTAAGAACAGAAAACAAACAACGAGAAAATATACATGACTTCATGTGCTGGCAGCAGAAGCACCTGGCAGGATCACAGTGTTTGGAGAGATGAGCACAGCAAGGCAGACCTTGGAGGGTGGAACAGGCACTGGATTAACAAACAGGGGACAGAGAGCCACATGAGCGAGGATGAGGAGTAATGAGAGTGAGATCTGCAGCCTCACAGAGCAGGGCTGAGAAAAACCACCCCCAAAGCCTTCACGTTACTGCAGCACAGCATCCTTGCACCAGGCGCTCCCCGGGAAACACACACGCTAACCTGGGATTCCTCCACAATTCCCAAATGGATACTCTCTCCCAGACCTGCCCTCCTCCGTGCACCCACCGGTGTGCTCCCACGGCTCCAGGAATCCCAAGAGCCCCTTTTTTCCCTAGTGCAGGGATCGAGCATTCCCTGTTCTCGCTGCCTGCAACACCCCATCCTCAGGATTCACCCAAGGACACCCCACATGGAGGCATCATCTCCCAGGGCTGCTCCCTTCCCATTCCTGCCCTCCAGCTGCCCCCGGGGCACAACTCCAGACCGACGCCCTTCGCCACATGCCACCCTTTTGCAGCAAGTGCCACCACCAAGGGGCAGTGCCCACAGGACCCGAGTTGTGCCCTCTTCTCCGCCCTCCACACATGGAGCCCTGCGTGCCCCTGTCACGGCCCCACAGCCCGCATCCCCAGACCGTTCTGCATCCCTTAAAGACCCCACTCCACACTCTATCACCTTCTCGCACTCTCCCTCTCCTCCTGCATCCTCCAGGCCCCTGACCTCGCACTCCTGACCCCACCCCCTCTCTGCGCCCCTGGGCCCGTCCATCCCCCCGGGCCGGGCGGTACCTTCGCGGCAGCGCCGCCGCCAGATCGTGTCGGTGCGGAGGATGCGGCGGAAGGTGGTGCAGACGCGGGCCAGGCTGGGCAGGTCAGTACCGGGCAGGGAGCCGAAGATCTGCACCAGGAGCTCCGGGGGCAGCTCCAGCAGGGACAGCGGGGCCCGCCCGGCAGGGCCGGCCTCGACGGGAGGCGGCGCGGGCCGCCCGCCCTCGATGCGCTCCGCCACCTCCTCGTCCTCCGTGACGCCGCCTCCGCCGCCCGCCTCCTCGGGGTCAGTGTCGGTGTCGGGCTCGCTGTCGGCGGCCCCGCGGCGTTGCTCCCTGGCCGCGCCGCGCCGGCGGCAGCCGCGGGCCGGCCCCACTCCGCACAGCCGTGCGCACACCGCCATGGCCGCAGCCGCTGTGATCGCTCCGCCGGGGCGCGCCGCCGCGTCCGCCGCCGGCCCCGCCCACCGCGCCGCTCCGCCAATCAGCACCGCCCCCCGCAGCCGCCGAGACCGCCCACCGGCGCAGCGCCACCAATCAGCGCCGCCTCACGCGGCCGCGCCACGCCCCCGCCGGCAGCGCACGGTGCGCGGCCGCGGTTCCCCGGCGCGACCCAACCAGCGCGGCCGCCCCCTGGCGCGCGGGAGGACCGAGCGCACGGCGGGGCCGGTGCCCGGTAACGGGGGTGCGCTGGGGCCCGTTCCGAGCCCGGGGGTGCGTCCCCACCGCCCCGGTCCCGCCTCCTGCTGCAATTCCGTCACAAAAAAAAATACAAACACTTCCCTTCTCTTGGGAAAACCTTTCCGCCGGAGGGATAAGAAAAGGAGGAAACCATCTCTGCCCCGTGTGAGGATCGAACTCACGACCTTCAGATTATGAGACTGACGCGCTACCTACTGCGCTAACGAGGCTCCTCGATAAAAGCGCTTCCGCGCACTGCTCTTCTCCCTGCTCCGCCGGGCTCCTCTCTATGTTCCTGTTGTCGTCCTCGGCAAACTGCCTAAGAAACCTTTCCTTGCAAAAGGTTCTTTCTCTGTAAGAGACACCTGTTTGGGTTGTTTTGTTACGTTTTCTTTTGCCTTTTTTTTTTCCCAAATGCCAGACCTCACATTTTGTGCAAACACCTCCTCTTTCCCATGTTGTTCCACAAAAAAGGTCTTGGGTTTTGGTTTTGGGTGTTCGGTTGGGGCTTTTTTTTGGAAATGGCTCCTTTATTTCTATGTTGTTCTGCAAAACAGCTGCAAAGCATCCTTTGGGGTTCCTAAGCATCCTCATCCAGCTCCACTGGCCAGGAATAGACTGAGACGGCTGCGCTGACAACATGCTCGCAAGGAAATCGAGTTGCTTCCACATAATTAACAAAATTTAGAGCCAGCCTCGTTTGCCTCCCTGCTGTGAAGAGTCACTGTTCGACTGGGATTTCTGTGGTGCAATGAGATCCCCATGCTCAGGGAGCGCTCAGCAGAAGAGGGTCCTCAGCATTGCTGGCAGAAATGCTGCCCTGAATCCTAATGGAGAGGCCTCACCCCCAGTGAGGGTCCCACGGCAGCAGTCGCCATGACAATGGAGCCATGACAAATACCTAAATTGGCAGAAGACAGGAAAACAGACATTTAATTCATGCAGAAAGTCTGCGAACCTCACCCACGAGAATTGCTGCAGGGAGGGAGGCTGTTCATCTGCAGAGTGAGGAACTGACAGAGGATGAAGAAGGAACAGACCACTGGACATCATAGAATCACAGAACTGTTTGGGTTGGAAGGGAGCTTAAAGCCCACCTCGTTCCACCCCCTGCCATGGGCAGGGACACCTTCCACTAGACCAGTTGTTCTAACCTGGCCTTGAACACTTCCAGGGATCCAGGGGCAGCCACAGCTTCTCTGGGCAGCCTGTGCCAGGGCCTCACCACCCTCACAGGGAATGATTTCTTCCCGATATCCCATCTAACCCTGCCCTCTGGGAAGCCATTCCCCCTTGTCCTGTCCCTCCAGGCCCTTGTCCAAAGTCCCTCTCCAGCTCTCTTGGAGCCCCTTTAGGCACTGGAAGGGGCTCTCAGATCTATTCTCCAGACTGAACACCCCCAGCTCTCCCAGCCTGGAAACAGAGCAGAGGGGCTCCAGCCCTCAAAGCATCTCCATGGTCTCCTCTGGATTTGTTCAAGCAGCTCCATGTTCTTCTTACTTTGGGGAGCCCCAGAGCTGGACACAGAGCTCCAGGTTAGATTTTATGAGTGCAGAGAAAAGGGGAGAATCCCCTCCCACTGTTCACACTGTTTTGAGTCCCACCAGACAAGATGAGACGTTTGAGTTGCATTGGACAACCCAAGGATTTTGCCAAGGGTCTAGTGGGCAGCTCTGGCTGTCAGGGGGAGAATCCCCTGATTTCCAAGGATCTGGATAGCCATGCATATGGGGCGATCACATGATGAGTCTGGGTTTCCTGGCTCGTGGTACAAACAAAATTGCTACAACCCCGGGATGAGTAAATGCTTCTTACAGCCTGAACCTCTGCATTCCTCGCTCCGACACTGCCCACGTGCAGAATGACAATGTCATTTTTAGTAGTGTGCTAATCCTTTGGGGCCTCAGCGATGGACAAATTTAGTGCCCACATTTCTGATTAAGTTACAAAAAGCTGTTCCAAGCATCTAAAACAAGGCACATGGACCATGAGTCACCTAAACCAAACATCAACTCTTTGGAAATACATCTGTAGCTGTTTTCCATCTATATGGAATCACGTGGCTTGCCCCCCATGTTACATTACACTCCGTTGGTACTCAAAGGTTCTGACACAGCTCGAGAAGGCTTTGTCATGTCTGTTTGTTTAAGATCTGATGGATTCATGGAGAGGACAGGGAAAAGTACTGATGGCAAGGATTTTAGTGTGAATGAAACAAAAGATGTCCTCGGTGACATTGCCCCGAGCAGAAACTCAGCAATCTAGAGCACACACAGGCTTTTCCCTCATCCTGGTTCTATTTTTATCTGAACCTTATTCTTTCTCCTTTTCTTCTGAATGCTCTTGCTGTGCCTAATCACCTTAAAGCCATCTCTCCTGTCCCTCACCCACCTGACCCCCATAACCTTATCCCACAGTCATGGCTCCGTAGGCGCTGAGCCACTGCCCCATCTCTCATCAGTCAGACTTTCCCTTGGCCCACTGACCCCCTTTCCAGTCCACTCCAGCAGAAGGCAGGACAATACACCACAAATCCATGCCAATTCCCACGGAGCTCCATCGCACCATGCCTATTTCCTCCAGATAAAGAAGGGGAAAAGTCTGCCTGGCAGTGCCCATCTCTATCACACACTGATGTCACCCAGAGCCCAGCAAAGCCTGAGGCAACGTGACAAATCTCTCAGGGTGATCACATTTTCCCTTCCTATGGAGCAGAGTGAGGGGATCCCAGCCTTTCATCACATCAGAGAGGAGAAACCAATCACTGTCTCCACTCCAGGTTTCAAGTCCCAGACAGAAAAGGTTTCCAGTGCTGTTCTGGTGGAGCATCACACAATAATTTTGGAGGTTGGGCACAGCCAAGGTCCTCGGGGCCCAGAGGGCGAAGAGCTGGTGCACAACGGGGTGGTTATAACTGAACAGAACTTTCAACTTCAGTGTCTACCATGCTGTCATCAAACTACAAAATTGGCGCTTTCTCCTCTGTTACCAAATCCATTATCTGAGTCACCCAGCTTTGTTTGTGACAATAGAGAAAACAGGAAAAGTGCCCTATCATCATCTCCCATCCTCTGTGGCACTGTCTGAGCACCTTCCTTTGAAAACACTCCCAGAGCAATAGCCCAGAGCTTTCCAGTGCTGCTGTCTCAGGCAGGCAGCTTGTGGCCATTACCACAGGGCTCTTGAAAAAGGATGTACTGAAAGGGGAAATGTTATTGTTTCATTTCCCTCCAGCAATTAAGGAGCTGATGCAGCTCTCGCTGTAGTCAATTAGTCCTCACGCTCACTAAAGGGCTTTGGATTGGTCCCAAAGTTAGTGTCCTCATTTTCTGTAATCCTGGAAGTGTTTACGCCTTCCCAGGCTCTGAGTGGGGATGAGCCAGCTGATGGCACATCCAGCCAATAATAACCTGAACAGCTAGGAGAGAATTATTTATTTTCCATTTGGCAAGAGGGACAGAAAAGCATGGCAAGGCCCGCCGAGACAGATGAACAAACCCTCTCTGCAAGCCCTGTTTGCCACACAGAGTATTTGCAGCATGTTTTTTTGGCACAGGCCTGCACTGCAATTTCTGCTTCGTAATAAAAAACAAAAGGCTCCTCCTGCCTACTAAAACACTGCCTTCATCCTTGGAGGCAGGACACTTTGAAGAGAGAATATTTCAATAGAGAGGCCGAAGAATTTTGTTTTGGTTTTTGAAATGTACATATTTTCATCTCAGATATTCTTTCTTTGCTATTTTAAGCTGGAAAACAGCTCTTCTTGTTCTGAGTCTATGATTTCCCACCTTCTTACTTTCTGTCTGGACATTGATTTCAGCAGATTTTGCAGGATAAACAACAGTGGACAGGCTGGGCTCTTCAGGGGAAATCCAGAGCACTGCAGAAACACTGCTGATGGCTCAGGAAGTGGTTTACAGCCTCCTGCTTTAGAGGAGAACTTGGTGCCCTCTCTTTACTTGGCTACCCACTGCCAGAGATCAGGGTTATATGGGATATTGGGAGGAAATTCTTGGCTGAGAGGGTGGTGAGGTTGTGGCACAGGTTGCCCAGAGAAGTTGTGGCTGCCCCTGGATCCCTGGAAGTGTTCAAGGCCAGGTTGGACAGGGCTTGGAGCAACCTGGTCTAGTGGAAGGTGTCCCTGCCCATGGCAGGGGGTGGAATGAGATGAGCTTTAAGATCCCTTCCAACCCAAAACAATCCATGATTCTCTGATTTACGAAAGAGGGTATGATCCTTCTTCAACACACTGTCATTGCAGTGAGGAATCAGTGGTTCTAATGGTCATGAATGCTTGGAGTCACCCACTTTTTCAGCACTTCTACCAGAAGCAGTTGTTGTCCTTCCAGCTTTGGCCACGGTCCAGCCTGAACAATTTAGCCCAACACCTTCAGCAGCTCCATTCACAGAAGCATCCCCCTGCTCTAAAGGGATCACAGGACAGGCAGTCAGGAGCTGGAGATGATATTACTGGGTCGGGTGCTGAGCAATGGTTGTGCAATCCCAGACAGCTCACGGAACCTCTGCACGTGTCCTCCCACATCAGTACGGAGGGCGTTTGCTGCAGCCACAGGCTACGTAGGACTCAGTTAATATTTGAACACGTGGGGAATTGCTTAAATCCTGGGAATATTAAAAACCAGTGGAAGACCTTGTAACATGCTGTGTTATTCCACAATTTCCCTGCTCTGCCTCCCCCGCTCATGCTGTCGTTGCTGCTGGC